ATATATATATATATATATTTTAATCACAATATTAAGAAAAATAATAATTATATATTTTAAATCAATCAGAAAAGCATGCTGCGATTTTGGCTTACCGTTATTTTTGATACCGCCATTTTTGTCACACGAGAAAATGTTCGATTGCATGTGATTTTTAACGTTGCGCGGAGTTTGTGGAAGATCACCGCCGAAGATGTCGCTAGTGCCACCGCCTGGTGGTCTTAGAACCCTATAAGAGAGAAAATTATAAGATTTGCGATTAGTTTTATAATAAAATTAAAATAATACTACATATGTATGTATACATGTGGATTTTGTAGGTTTTTTGTCCGCTTTAACATTACTGACTAGCTCCTTTCACCTACGCTGCTAAACACCTAGTTTTCTAGTTTCGAAACTTCTCCCATTAAAATAATAAATGGCGGTCTCTAGAACAAAAGACGAGAAAGCAAATCGTTCATGATGTGATAGATGAAAAGCATGATCCGAGAACCAAACATTGACTCGATGGCACACGCGTCTGTGAAGCAAAAAATTCGCCCCCAGCAATAAAAATAAAGCTCAGTGCCGAAAAGTTGCAATCAAAGCCTCACATCTGAGCGATACGTATGTATTTTCCGTAATAAAAGGGAGGCCAAAATACAAGGGTACGAAGAGCTTGAAATTCTGGCCGACTTGGAATGGTTTAAAGACCAGTGTGAATGTATTTACGGACAACCATGGCGACCTAGTGAGCGATGTCCAAAACATATCTACTTAAAATTATGGAGGGAACGCTTCCTTACTCTATACTGAAAACACTAGAGAAAACGGGGCCCCGAGTCCCCGGTCAATGACGACGCAATCTGTGGCCCACCGCCCGACTATAGTGATGTATAAGCAGCGATTTAAGTGTCCTGCCCAATCCAAAAGAAAGAAAAAGCTCTAATCTAATTAAGGGAAAGCCTAAAAAGCCCACCATCACCGAACTGGTTGTGGCTTATCAGTGCGGCTTTAGATCTGTCAAATCTACCACAAACCACACTGAGAAAATGATACAGGTAAAACGCAAGTTTCTAAAAGACATTGTAAAACACATTTTTTTATATAATTAATTTTACTTCATACAAAATAAAAAATGCAGTATTTGTATTTTCGACTAAACATTCGCAAAACAAAAACTAACGCTATAATATATTTTGTTTTGGACTGAGGAAAATAAAAGAAATGTGATAAAATAACGCAAAAAATGCGCATTTTCAAGACTAAAATGAGACATTTTAGAATATTGTTCCAACGAATTGTAGTGCGACATAATTTTCAACAAGTAAAATAAAACGAGAGACTTTTAAAATAAAAACGTAAATTTATTTTTGGTCAATTAAGTATGAAAAAGTTTTAAAACTAAAA